TTTCGACCAACTGGGGTTCTTTAGCGTGCACCTATATCTGAGCACACGGGCCTACAACATTTCCGCCTCGATCGGAAATGCAGCCGCCGCAGCCGGGATTCGATCCCGCGACCTGCGGGTCAGCAGCCGATTACTTTAGCCACTAGACCCCCGTGGTGGGGCCATTCTACATCGCAGCACTGAATGTTTCGCTGCGGTCTTTTTCAACGGGCAACGTTTTCACCATGACGTGGTAGACATGAATGGACAAAGAGCGTACAGGCAGCTTCTTTATAGTACGCCATAGCCCTAAGTGATTCAGGTCAGTGCTCCACCACAATGCTCAGGGCATGCCGTGGATACCACGGTACCTACATTGCGCAGCAGGCATGGTGTCATTGCTAGTCTTGCCCACTTCTGACAGACCCTGCCACGCACTATCTATTCCCGGGGTCAGCTACACCAATGAATAGTCGCCAAATCCCATTTGCTCATTTTGAAGCGGTTTAGATGGGCTGAACCATCTGGGTTGAACACCCAGTACTCTTGGCGAAAGCGTCTGACTCGTGAAGCACGTACCAAACATGCGTGCTTAGAAAAAGTGGTGAACGATTTTGAGTACTCGGTACTCTACTATAGACGGTTTCAAGATTGCAAGCGGTGTGCCCCGGAAAACTTTCGGTCACCTCATTTACCAGCTCGTAACGTCAAAACTGATAGGACTTTCCCACGTTTTTATCATGGGCAAGGATTGATTGATTGATTTGTGAGGTTTAACGTCCGAAAATCACCATATGATTATGAGAGACGCCATAGTGGAGGGCTCCCGGAAATTTCGACCACCTGGGGTTTTTTAACGTGCGCCCAAATCTGAGCACACGGGCCTACAACATTTCCGCCTCCATCGGAAATGCAGCCGCTGCAGCCGGGAATTGAACCCGCGACCTGCGTGTCAGCAGCCGAGTACCTTAGCCACTAGACCACCGCGTCGGGGCAAGGGCCAGGAACGTTTTTATTTTTTTTTTCAAATAAAGAGAACGTGCGTGATGTTCAAGGCAATATCCCGTAGTTCTATGTAGCTCAAAGGAACATTTATTTGTATATATTTTGCCAAATGGTAAAAGGAAAGTGTATAAAATAATCGGGCTATTTGGTAACGTTCTTCTTGCTCACCGATGCTATTCAGGCACATCAGTGAACGAAGCCAGACGTCATCAAGTGTCTGTGTTTGTAAACAGTGAAAGGGTCTCTACATACACTGGTGAACTGCACAGGTGGTTTTGAGAGTGATCTTGTATTCGCGCGGCCAGCAACTAGATGAAGTGACCTTAGAAAAAGTTAGAGAAATATGCACAGGTAACAACGTCATATTTGTGACACAGGCATCTTCATGTATCACCTTAGCAGAGAAAACAAGCGAAAACTAAATAAAAAAACAGGCTTTATTTATACCCTGATGAGATAATCTCGTTGCTAGACGACTAGATGCTTCGCAGCGTTATTTCCACCAAGAAAGTACTCTCTTTTTCAAGCTACATTGGAGAGTTGTAGTAGTGAGCGGTTCTTGAAGGAAGAAAAAACGGAGCTAATTTCTGTCTGCCTAGTTGGTGACACGGCTAAGCTCTTTGTTGGGGAGGGGGAGGGAGAAAAAAGATTAGTAAAAGAGAAAAGAAACTGAAAACAGAGCAGACAGAAAACATGGGGGGACACGGTGGAAGGAGTCCGAGGACGGGGCACCAGTTGGCGAGAGTGTAGCGAGAGCTACACGGCATCAGGAGATCGCGGACGGTGGACATATCGGTGAGAGCTTCACTGGCGTCGGGGATCACGGAGGACACAACCGTTCAGCACGGAATCCACCAAGCAGTCACAGCGATTAGGCGAATGCCAGCGATTATTCTTTTAAAGACGATAGTTTTTCTTTGGACACTTTGACGCAAGAATTTCGGTCCGTCTGTCTGTCAGTCTGGCACCCAAGACGGCTTGTCTGTTCTTTATTGTTTGTCCTTAATTTTAAAATCCAACCATAACTGCAGTACCCACCCATATTGCTCTGGTTTGTTTGTTCGTACTTGTGCGTGGTATCAATCAAAAAGCAAATGTTGGGTCTATCTGAAGCAAAACATCAAGAAGTTCATATACTATGGCGTCTTTTTTCATACTATGAAAGTCAAACATAAGTAATTTCAAAGAAAGTAGCATTTACTTCGCTGAGCTGACAATGCAAAACTACACATGAAAAGACTGGTATTTCCTGCGCTTTGTTACAGGATACTGCGGTGGTCCCTAACCGCTGCGCGCATCGAGGCACTTTAACGCAGTGCCTCCAGAATCTCATTTACTGATTTTCTCGTGCAGAACACCAAGTAAATGTTTTATTCAATTTCTCCAGGCGGAAGAATATCGTCGTTCGGCAAAGTTTGCAGTGAAACATGCAGATACGGGGCCAACTTTTCAATCCCCATTTACCCATAAGATCAAGATAATTGCTGCTAAACACAATGCACATATTTAACGGCACCTCCGAAGTTCTACGGACTTCACCAAAAGTTTAACGCGCATGAATGTGAAGGCAAGGAAAGTGTTTTCTAAGCGAAGAATGGGAATAGGTTTGTGGGCTGCGCTGGTGGCGTTGCCTATTGCATTGCACTATCTTAAGACAAAAATACATTGGTTAGACGTGCTGGTATCTTAACATGCGCATGGCTGAAAAAAAACATTATGCAAGTTTATTGCTATCATGTCCTGGTAGTTTACCACCCACAGCGCTGCATGCAAATATAACTTGTGTAACTTCTTTCTATGAGCATAAAAGTGTTGAAGCGCGCATCTAGTATAATTGAAAGAGAAATATTCCTTGGTTTTTTATTTACTTGTTTCGCTCGCGCATGTGAAAGTAGTGTTAGCGAACCATCGTTCATCACTTCTTCAAAAAAAACTGAACTTTTCAGGAAAAACATAATAACTTGGATACGATGCTTTGCAAGTGTGTTTTATGGATGGTGGCGTGTTCACTGATAAACTTGTGCGTTTTTTGTTTTTTTTTCGTCGTGTGGTATTGCTTTCGTTTTCCTTTTTTTCACTTTTTCAGTCATACATAAGGATATGTCTGGAGCAAAAATAAACCATTGTCAGTTAGGCATCACCCTGTGCATGTCTTGCCTGTTTCTGTGGTCACTTCGTCTAGTTTCCAGCCTGCAAATAAAGGAGGCATTTCTACCTCCCGTCCCCATAGCAGCATTAATTGATGAGCGTAAACAGAAAATCTACTTTTCACAAATAAACAACCTTGCAAACTACTTATGCAGCAATAACTTCCGAAGAAACTAAATTACATTGAATTTACACGTGTGTAAGGCAAATAACATTATATTATTTTGCTTTCGAGATGTGAAATTACTTGTCTTGGGGAATCAGCAGCTATATCATCCTGGTGAAAACTAGTCGCTATTTCGACGACTCGCCTCCCCAACCTCTCTGAAAGCTTAGTAGAACTTCGCTATGTAAGTAATAGCACTCACTAGTGCGAAAAATGGTAGTGGCTATACAGTGATGGAAACAAAGGGTTACAGTCGGTTGTGGTTGCAGTGCTTCTTCGTGTTTATAGGTGATTGTAATTCAGAAATGGAGACTTCTAGGGTCAGCAATTGATGGTGATTACCGGCTAAGAAATGTTGGGCTAACGGTACTAGAACTTTCTGATTTTCGAATTCTGATTTTCATCGCTGCGTCCGTACGCCGCTGCTTCAATCTTCTACCGATGTTACTGACGAGACCAATCTGCACCTGAACGGATCGCCCAAACTGTTGTGGTGCTCTAACAACCCTTCAGTCGTCACAGTGTTGTCGCCGTTCCAGACGAACATGCGTCACCAACATAACTAATCAATCTACATCAACACGTCGATCTGCCTCGCAACATAAGCCGCATCGTGAAAAAACTTTTTAAATTAACCTCTTGCTCAATGCTTGTTGTAACTTCGATTTCAACAGTACGCAGAATCCACAAAGAACTTCTTTCTTGAATTATACCGATGAGCATGCCTAACATGAAGCTAATGGTGTTTGTTTCTTTGTTCCCCCTCAAGACTTTTGCTCTTGGGAACTAGGCTCGTCGTGCCGGATGTACAATGCTGCGGATGGTTTTTCTCCTTGGAGAATTGTCAATGGCTCTGAACTGGGGCTTCCAGACCACACAACAAGGAATCTGACAGGTCCGTAAGTAGGATGCAATTCCGCAGCACGAAAAATAAAAAAAAAATTGTTGCGTGCTAAGTAAAACTTTCGTTGATAGTAGTCACTAAAACTTATATGATAGCGATGTAACTTCAGCAGCAAATGGGGTGAGTAGAAGCTGGTTGCGCTTATGCGTACCCAATGACGACCTTACTCGAGCACAGTTTAGAGAGGGGGATTTGATAGAAGGCCCACTATTGAAAAGAACTTTGCAGTATGCCTAGGTATCCACTGTTGCGTCATCATCGAATCCATTATTTTGTGTCTTAGTGGAACTGTTTTTGATCGTATCTTTGTTGACACGCATAATGACCGCGTTGCAGGGGTGTTCCACAGGTCTTCTTTTCAATTGAACTTTCTTGGGGAATTTATTCAACTCCGCCCACTAAACTACTCATTTCGTCACACAAACAGCTTGCGTAATACCCTTTACTACGTATCTTAAATACTTTAATGAAACTTAGCGAACATTGGAATATATTTATACCCTTTTCCCAATGAAATGATCCCTAGTCATAAACCAGCGTGTATACACGGAAAAGTAACCTATTTTTCTCTCTGGAAGCCTTATACCTGCAGGCGTAAGTCCAAAACTTATATCATCAGCCCTTACGTTGAGTTTTGGCTAGAAAGGAAATTCTGGCTAGTAACGAAACTGGGACTGCCACACATAGCAATCTGTAAGCTCCTCTTGGAGTTATACTTGGGCCAAGCAGTGCTCTACGAACTGACTAGAAATAGTGCAAAGTTCAAATACTATATTACTGCCACATTCGTTGCAGGCCGTTACATGTACCTAAACACAACTGCGGTCGACTCCCATCATCCTATATCGCGGGTGTTTTTGTCGCATCGGCCGCCCACCAAGGCAACGTGCGTCACATTTTGGTTCAGTGGTAGCGGATCCATCAGCCGGCTCAACTTGTACAGGTGAGTGCAATAGAGCTACTTCCCGAAACTCACAAAGTTATTGTGCAGAATTAGCGAGACACTAACCTTTCAGACGCCACCTACGAAGAACTGTCTGCAAATGTGTCAAATCGCAACAAAGTTACTTCAACGCACTCATTATTTTATGGCAACAAGAGTAATGAGATAATTCGGGAATTTACGAGTGTTATAGCAACTTATCTTAATTAGGTTCCAATAGAATACCTCTTTATCTTGAAACCATAGATGCTTATTCTTGGAATAAATAGAATAAAATCCCAGGCTAGGAAATATTCTGCATATTACTTGTAAACACAAATTCTGCAAACAGAAATTCTTCTTCTCACAATGATTGCAGGAAGCGCCACGTTGTACGACTCGTCGAGCGTGGTATTGCCTTCAGAACAATGATAATATGTGTCAGTACACTCCATAGCAGATTATGCAGGTTAACTGGGGAAAATTTATTATGCAGGAGATTCAATTCACCAAAAGTACAATATATTTTGCTCTTTCATAGACTCTGCTTGATACAAATAGCTAAAACGAAAGGCGTACACAATGGTGTACATGGCGTCTCAAAGAGTTTAAGCAGTGAAGCAATTCAAATCGTAGTAATAAAATACAATAGGAAATTCACCACTCTCTTCGCAAACAGGCATCTTGAACGCCAGAAAAAGCGATATACATATATATATATATATATATATATATATATATATATATATATATATTATATATGGGGGTGTACAAACATTAATTAGGGCAGGAAATACAGAAGCTAAAACAATCAGCTTTTTAACCAGTGGAAAGAGCTGATCGAGTCCAATGGGCGAATCAAAGTACTCCCTACAAATCTTGATAAACGCCTAAGAATGAATATATTGCACAGGTAATGATATAGCCCTTAAGTGATCCTTAATTTGATTGCGCTACGCAATTTTTTGCTCTATTGAGGATGTCTTACTGGAAGCACCTAGAAAAAGTTCAATGTGCAAGCAACGTTTTCTATGTTAACGTGTAACGTACCTTCCGGGGATGTATTGTGCTTACAGATTTACAAAGGAAACGGCTTTTCGGGACCCCCTTGTTTCAGTAACTACGCCAGTAAAACAAGGACAATGGATTGCGCGAAGGGTGCCCATCTCTTCAAGAAATAGGTGGAACGTGAGTTGAGAGTGCTCATCTCCAGTACTTTTTTTCAATCTTTAAAACTGTCATTACCGGCAGTTTGATGAATGAGTTCCTTCACACAATATTTGCTCATGGGGTGCACATGACAGAAATCTGGGTAAAGGATTAAAATAAATGCTCAATCTTTTCCTGCTATTGCCATACATGTGGCGCATCCTCCGCTTTGCGCATTTCTTTAAACTTGGCTTGGTAGCGTTCTCGTAACTTCCTGAAAGTAATCAATAACTCCCGTTTGTTGCTCTGCTCGTGATGCTTTTGATAGAATATTTAGATAAATATTGTGGCTCAGATAACCAAAACACTTAGCTCCACGTTTTATAAAAGGAGAACAATCAACCAAAGTGGACATCTGGGCACAATGCTATTCCATAGAGAAGAATATTTATAGCGCACTAAAAACGAGGACACAAAGAAGGCACACACAAACACACACACATCGCGCGCACACGTGTGTGTCTGTGTGTGTGTGTGTGTGTGTGTGCGTGTGTGTGTGTGTGCGTGCGTGCGTGTGTGTGTGTGTGTGTGTGTGTGTGTGTGTGTGTGTGTGTGTGTGTGTGCCTTCTATGTGTCCTCGTTTTTAGTGTACTATAACCATTCTTAACTATGGAACAATCAACGCATTGCCCACTGCAACTTCTGTAATACTCTGTAATGTGTCGTAGAAATGGATCTTCATTTTTCTGTGACACAACTTGAAGTTATAATTAAGACGCAATGTCGAGGCAGCACTGAGGTCCTCATGCTGTTTGCTATCTTTGTTTTCTTTATCAGCTTGTCTTCGAAGGTGTGGCTACAGCAGGAGTAAATAGAGATTCTGCAATCATGATCGACGACGTTGAGTTCACGGAGGGCGAATGTCCAACCTACGGTAATATTTTGTCTATATTGTGAATAGCGTGTTGTGTTAGGGTTGACCGAAGCAAACATTCTTCTTCATATATAAATTGGAATTGCTGGCGTGAAGCTCAGCTCCAACGATTATTGTGTGCTGCCTATCATGTAGATTGAGCGCGTCGCGTCAAATGTTAATCGCTTGCCTCTCTCACAAGTATTAGCTGTCAGGTCGAAGGGGCATTGAAACAGTTTTCATCCTTTCAGTCGAACGTAACCTTGGGGGCACCGACCTTCCTGCCAGGGAATTCACCTCCTTTTTCTTCTTGCCCCTGACGCTGGGTGAAACAACAGCTATTGGTGAAAAAAGAGAAGTGACTCGAGTGCACACGGAGAGTGGGCGTTATAAGAAGACTTATTGACGTGACCGTAAGAAGGGAGCAAGATCGCTGCATTTGTTAGCGCTCATTCTCGCGTTCATGTGTCACGCATAAAGTGAAGTTCAGAATAAACTGTTGCCCCCCAACTAATCTATCTTACGGCCTGAAGCTATAGGAAGATTCGCAAAATACCAATTTCAACACTAGTTTCTATATTGCTTTTGCTTCAGCCTCTGTGCCGAGATCGAGAGGTGGCATCGCCGTGCCGAGGTTGTGTTCAGCACTCGAATGGAATGGGACCCACGGTTACTGTGAGGTCTCATTTCAGACGTTTTCTCAGTATCAGAAGAGGGCTACCCAGTCACTTAGTCACTCACCATGCTTGCGAAGAAAAAAATGTGATAGCAAGTGTGGTGCTTCCGAGACAATTGAGAGACATGAAAGGCGTGTGAACCCGTTAATATGCAACTGCAAGGCTCGTCTATAAAAAGTTGTACCACTGAATAGAAACGTAGTGTCGTCTGCCAGTTCGCATAAGAGAATATCATAGGAGAATATTGTCACAGCGTCGTGACGTCGACGAAAGGAGCCGACTACAGGTCGAAAATGAAACTGTGTAGTCGGGCCGAACTTGTGGCCATGCAAAAGAAACGTCAGAATACAGCAGGACACTGGCACTGATAGCGGTGAACAAAGCGTCGGCCGTTAACAACTAACAAACGGCGAAGCGTGTCGGCATTGATACCCTTGCTATCGAACATTCTAGCGTTATCGCTGGTGGCGACATAGGTTCCCGAATAATCTCTGACGTTCTCAAAGTGGGCGTTATCTTAACAAAACGATCTACTACAGCCTTGAAGCTTAACACTGTAGGCGTGGTTCGCGCTGAACATTGTGTAATGGGGCGACAACAAAACTTGAGGCAACGAACATGGCTCTATTGCATTAAGGAAGATGGCAGAGATCTCACATTCTCTACGCGAGAGAAGGTGTTACCTGGCGTACACTCGATGCATTTTGCTAGCATATTGCTAGTCATGACAGGCGTCAAAAACGGTGGTGGTTTTCCCCAGCGGAGCTGTTTATGCTTTCTGATCCACCAGTCCACGTGACGTGAAAGCCACGTTTAACAAGCAAGGCCTCTATCTTATACACATGTCAGATCGCCTAGTGCCTCTGTGTGGTAAATAAACATTTGCTAATTAGAGGAACAATGCCATAGACCTCGCTAATAAAAGATGAAGCTATTGAAGACCCCCATTTTAGTAAACATTAGGACCGTTCCAATGAAAACCCTGATATTTATGACACCCACTTATGACTCTTAATTTAGATGGCGCAAATGAGGTATATGTCACTCAAAAACACACCGTTTAGGCCCTTCCTGAATAATACCTCACACTTTAACCTTGCTATTAATCTAGGGGGCCGCAAAAGTAGCTGTCGTAATCCAACCTGATTTGACTGTCTTCACAACAATGTGTTTGCTTGTATTACTGAGCAGACAGAGGAACCCTGTGGCATATACTAGTCTGAGTTCTAGCCGGCCCCGATCTACGTGTGGCGATGCCGATGACGACCGCCTCTCGTAGGTGGTTGTCCACTTTGTGGATGAAGCAGACCTGCTCGTGAACAGGTAGAAAACCAATGGTTGCGTGCTAATTCTGGGAATCGCACCCACTGCCTCACGATGCAGGAGTAACGAGGATTGGATTGCCAGAATAGTGAATTGCTGTTGGTATAGTTGGTTCTACGTAAATCTGATATCTACTGCCGCCGGGTTCCCACCATTTATTCAAGTGAGAAGATGCGAGTGCACAACCTGGTATGGCACTCGGCCTTGAGGGTACTTATAGTTCGACTAAGTCACAGATTTTCCGCCCAGTTCTTTTTTCCTTGTTCCACCAAGGGCGCTATTCTCTGCTGCCTAATGGTACCCACGAATAAGCCCTTTGTTTAACGTAGACGATCTTCCTCTTCAACATTTACAGTTGTTTAAAGAATGCACCACAATTAGCATAATTAGACAGTCTTATCATTGGGTCTCGGCAAGCTACTTATGCAGCTTTTAACCCAGCGGAACCATCCAGCATATATAAGTTGGAAAAATAAAAATTGAATCGAAATGAGTTGAATTGAATCGCCGCAACTCCCCATAGTAAGAGCTACGCTTATTTTCAGGAACAAACACTTATACCCTGAGGCATACCTGTAGACAGGCGGCATTGCCTGTAGATAAGCGCAGTCAGCTTCTCTGAAGACTCTCAACATGAAGTCACAAAGTCTTAACCAGTCTCCCCCCTTAACTGTGACATGGCACTTCGGAAAGTGCCCGATGGCAATCAACATGGACACGTCTAGACACACTACCAGTGGAGGAAATATACCACTAGCGGTACATTTAGTTGTCACCGAAAAACACACAAAATCCAGATGCGCACTATGTGTTCATGTATATGTGCTTCGAACTAAATGTTTTTTCAGTCTGGTGCTGTGCTGTCTTTTATAAGCTTCAACGGCATTGTGCAGTGTTTAGTTCGTTACGAGCATATCTTGTTACTAAACTTAGCACTGTGCTAAATATTTAATCAAGATATATTCTCACTAATGCTTTCAGCAATGTTCACCAGCCCTCTGCTCATGACGTCACTTTGGAGTGCGTGCTGGTTGGTTCAGACTTGTGGAAAAAAAAAATGCTGATGACTTTTGGAGTTGCACCCGACTACATGGTGTTGGAGCATTATCCAATTACTCCTTAACCATGAATGACTATCCCGGCTGCGGCGGCTGCATTTCCGATGGAGGCGGAAATGTCGAGGCCCGTGTGCTCAGATTTGGGTGCACGTTAAAGAACCCCAGGTGGTCAAAATTTCCGGAGCCCTCCACTACGGCGTCTCTCATAAACATATGGTGGTTTTGGGACGTTAAACCCCACAAATCAATCATCAACCATGAATGACTTTTTTTGTTGCAAGTCTGCACTATATAATCTCAGAGGTAGTTATGTAACATGCCAATGATTTCTAAGATAGTGAACTAGACTAAGTACGCTGTCTGTTGGATTGCTCTTACTGCCCCTTTGTAAGTACAAATTCATTTTTATTTCACCTCCTTAGAATACTGCACGTTCGAAGATGAATGCCTGCCCTGGGTTGTGAAGGAAAACGGTAAGAGCGTATGCACTTATATGTCCTTTTCTATATTCATAAGTTTGTCTTTAGTGAAAACAAATGCCTATTATGCTGTTGGCTTGTTATCCGCAATGAATTTTTTCGTCATGAGAGACAGGTTCATAGTGTCCTTTTATAGAACAACAATAGCGGTACTTTTTTGTTCGAGACATTAACCATCGAACAGGTCAAGTGGTGCTTAGGAAGGTATTTTGGCTATGTAAGCTGCAGTCAGGTACGCTCTAGTGACGCCGTAAGCTTTGTATGCCCCTTGATGACTGTCTTTTGTGGCTTCAGAGAGCTCTGCTAATAAATGTGCCGTCTTATTAATTGCCGGGGAATGTTTACAGTTTCAAAATTATGCAACATTTCCTGTTGGCTATTTCACCAAGTGTTTTCCTTGATTGAGCTTTAGATGATTTATTGAGAAAGTCAGGTATTTACAACATGCTCCTTTCAAGATTATAAGCGTATTTCAGTGGCAAGTTACTCTTTATTATTGTTTCGAATATTGACTGATGATTGGCCTTACAGATGACTAGTACTGACTCTGGCAGAAAACCCCTTCAATGTACAATGAACTGCTGTAGTCTGAGGTTTCAATAGTGTTGATCTCAAAAGGGTATATAAATAAAATTTCATGAAACAATTAAAAGAGCTTGCTAGCGTAGCTTATCATTTAAGGATGTTGAGTTATTCATCTACTTTTCCAAATAGTGCACTTTATCAGTATACAGTTGAATAACACCTAAATATCTTTCATGAAGCCAAACTTTAAAATCGTAATACGTTATGGCTCTGGAATATGCGTAAAGTCCCTGTCGTCCTAATAATTGAAGTATTTTTTGTCATTCGAACGTGATCAGGTCAAGAAGCTGCCTTTAGAGTGGAGCGAGCAGGGCACTTCAAAAAACTGCCCCGAGATCACACTACGCAGACGGACGACGGTAAGGTTCTCATAAATTTGTCACATTTGTTGCATGTGACAACCTTATGTCAATATATTCTAATGGAGAAACAGTGAAATTTTAATTCTCTGACAACTGCAAGGAATCATGGATTTTTTACTAAAGTGTCGCCCTTGAAATACTGTGTCTGCTAGTGCAGCAATATGTGCTTGTTAAATCTCATTTAAAGTAAATTATTCAGCATAAGCTTTTTTTATTTTTCTTTAACAAAAACGAGTGGTAATATTTCTTAAGACTATATGCTTTTCGACAGAATATTCGGGTATGATTCCGAAATATTTTTATTTTATATCAGTTCTTTCCAAAGCATCTATAGTGACACAATATACATTATGTACCTTAATTTTCGAATTTTAGTTGTCTTTATACCCGATGCCTCAGGCTTTGCTAATTTCCTGTCATACAAAGCGGCCTCCTTATACTGTGATAGTATCTTCATAAACAGTACAACTCCACTGCTGTAAATGAACACACAGTTACACTTCATATATGATTGGAGTTCTGCTGATGCCAGTTTAGCTGTTTTATTGATGTTGCTTTATTGCCCCGTTCATATTACTGCAGGCTACTATCTTCTCTTCGAGTCTCCAGGCACCAAAGGAAACAAAACGTCCTTTACGTTGCGAGAGCCCCTGCTCTACGAATGTGTGTCGTTCTGGTACTTCTTGCCCAAACTCCAAAACAGTGTGGTGCTCTACGCTCAAGATGAACCAATATCGAAAGGAGAAGGTGTTTGGAAGCGTTACGAATGGCAACAAACGCAGCTGATGGTAATCAAGAACATTTGCTGTTCTGTCAATAGTATGGCATTATCGCTACGATCACTAGGCTCTGTTGAAAATATGGTTGACCTACTATCCCGTATTATGTCTTGAGAGGCAATAGCTTTTCTCTTTAGAAAATACAAAAGAAAATATAAGCTTGCACTGACATGCTTATTAACAAGCAAAAAGTAACATCTGTGAAATTTTCTTGTTTCGCCAAGAAAATTTGTATGCAATGTTTGCGTAACCAGGACATTTCTCGGAAGTAACTCATCAGGCTACAAAGACCGAATATATATTTAATAACACTTTTGATATCTTGTAGTAAATGAACTCTCCACAAAATGAAAGTTTTTGTACGAACTATTTATATCCACCTCATTCGTTTATTTATTTGATGAACTGTGGTGACATCAGGCCAGAAATACAGGACATTTCACCAATCCTAATGATTTTCGAAGCCTGGCAAGATGCGTATAGTCGTGACTGAATATTTAGAGTGTATGAGTACTCTGCTAACATTGAAATTGCTTGACGAAAAGTGGTTCACCTGGAACTGGTATATATGGTAAGTGGTGAGAGTGTAATATAGGTGGTAGGTGGTGAGAGTGTAATGTTGGAACACTTTGATGAACACTGGCGTTCAGGTTGAAAGTGGATAGTCCAAGACTTAAAGGCATCGTGTTAACATTTTTCGGTTCCTCGAAAACATCCATCGCAGTTCTTTAGGTGGATAACCTTTACAAACAGACAATCAAGGGGAAGTTTGCCATCACCGTTATGTTACAAAATAAATCCGAATTCAGGAGCAGCCCTTTCCGAGGCATGGTGCTGGTTAAGAGAAAAACAGTGTGAGAGTTAACCCACATGGCCGTTTAGCAAGCACTTGCCGCTTATTTCTGCAGCTTTCATTATCATCTCTCAATTTGTCTCTTGCAAAAAGTACGTGCCGGAAAATGAGAAATCGGAAATCAAAAAATTTCAGCTTAGTGGCATGAAAAAAAAATCCACTCCGTCTTTTTGGCCAGACATATTAATCAAGGAACTTTCATTTGTCTAGGTTAGCGAACTTTTTTGTGAGAAAGCGTTTACGACTTCGCAAGAATAATTTACGTTTCCGTATTGTGATCATGGTTGGGTCAATGAAGTGGCTTTTGAAAGGGGAAATACATGAAAGCATTGGATAGCTAAAAAACAAAACCAAAATAAAAATCTTGACAGAGATGTGCTACTTTAGCCATAGGTTGCACAGTGTGCTATGTTGTACATCATGCAGAGATTTATCAACGTGAGAAGCGCAATGTTTCGTTCGTAATGCTGAAAAAAAACCAAGATGAACGTGCTTCGACAGTCTACATAAACACCAGCGTATTATGGTTCATACATTAATCCATTCGACCTCCAGAGATCTCTGAATGAAAGTGACAATGACCAATAATGCTCGAACTGGAAGCATCAGAACAGCTTCTAAATGTGTACTAATGTTTGTTAAATCAGCTGGCCAAATCATCAATAATGCTCATCAGTTGAAGTGTATATATTAGTCAAAACTGCAATGAGGAGGTGTTCAAAAGATTTGCCACTCATAATGTGTTTGGAGTGAACACTTGTCCGTTGAATGAAAATCATCATAAGCCGACTGTCTTATCTACTAGGGTATAGCAAACGCCTCCTAGCGCGTCTGTGCACTCTGGTTTATGGCGTAATTCTACTTGGAGAGAAAAGGTGATGGTGCCATGTTCGCCAATGCATGGTTGCCCCGTTGAAATGAAGATGAGTATGAGTTCAAAGCTAACTCAGGTTTGAAAACACGAATACGCTTGTTTTCTTTCCCGGGCATATCTTTTGTACGTGTGCGTGCTTGAAAAATACAGAGAAGGAACAAAGAGGAATATGTTTGTTGACTTTATTGGGCATATGTACGTACTGTACGTACGTGTGTAGGAAGATAAAATTTCCGGTTACAGAGTCGCAGTTGTTCCAGCTGAAAATATGTTTTTTTTTGCTTCAGATGAGCTTGTCTGAGGGCGAAAGTTACTCAGATACTTCTTGCCTTGCTTTTTCTATTTATCAGTTCGACCAAATTTCTGCCGAAACCGTAACGGATACAGATGGCTTCGTGGCCATCGATGATGTGCTTATCAGCGGGGAGTGTTCTCAAAACAGTAAGTGGTGAACCCCTCACTGTGTCCTTTATTTATTCACTCAGGATAACTCAAAGGCAAAAGCAATTTTTGTTCCTCAACGTCGGTATAATAATGCTGCCCCGCAACCCTTCCAAAATTTTCCCACTGATTCTTGGTTTTTCAAGGACTCCTTAATTGGAACCCTTTGACCAAGCTACAATTCAATGTTGTGACGCAAACAAGTGTCTTTACGTCACGTGACATCGCTGTGACGCCATGATGATGCCATAACAGTGTCACGAATTTCGGCAATCAATGACGTTATTTTGACGTCACTTCCTAATGGTGATCTTTTGCATCACTTGTCTCTGACACTGCCGACGTAGAAAGCCGACGTCGGCAGTCAATTTTCGCGTTTGATGAGACAACTAAGACTTGGGAGAATCCACGAACTAGATGTATGAAGACTAAGAAAACTTTGGAGCTAGTGTCCTACCCCCCTCCTGAGCTCTCTTTTTTCCCATTAGGGAGCTATTGCATCAAGTAACTATTGTGGTTATTGTCGAGTTAAATTTTATATAAAACTTTTATAATAATTTACCTGCTTTAAATGGCATATACTGTACTAAATCTGTAGAACGTACGTGCGTTATATGAGGCTGTTCAAGAATTTCTAGATAGAATTTTCAACGAATTCTATAAGATTAATTACTTCGTAGAATATTATTGCGACTGCTTCTTTTTAACACAACGTAAGTGCATGTTTCAAATTCCTTAATTTGTCGCATAACATTACAGTTTATACACACTATTGCAGGCAGAAAAGACTTACAGTGAGTTTTGATAACAATCATGTCAATAAATATGCCTCCGACCTGGAAAGACAAGGCGAAAAATATTATAGCTAGGAAGCAAAAAAATGAAATAGAGGAAAGGCAGGAATATTAACCGGCATGCGACCCTGCACATGAAGAAAAGTTGAAAGAAGGGTAAAGAGAGAGAGGGGGGAAGCACACACATACCGTCACCAAGCATAGAGGCAGTCTTGTGCGGTGACGGCACAAGACTCATCTTTTAGAGTATACAGCCACTCGTGCAAGTCTGTTGTCCTTAGCTATTTGGTTGCTTAAACACTCAATAAACTTTCAGGATTTTGATAATAGTTGGGACTATATATTTAGCGTAAGACACGGGAAGTTTCGAAGAGTAATGGCTGAAAAAGTTTATTTAGTGTGTGAGAGAACTGTATACATTAAGCTGACCAAGCTAGCGACCAACATGTCGGGCTACGTGCTTGTGTTTATTGATATCTATATTTTCATTTTATTTAGCAGACTGTCTAAGTACTATTTATTTTTTTGTGCACTCTCAATGGCAGCACACTTTCTGGTATATTAGATTGAGCGCATTGCTTTCGTTGTGAAAGCATTTGCGACCGATTCTCTATGTAGGTGACTTCGCACCATCATTGATTTGTATCGTTCTTGCAGAACTCTGTCAACAATTTTTGTAAAACGTACCAGAAATTTTCCCGAATCATTAAGGAGTAGTAGATGCAATGTTACAGCTCAAGACATAAACCTACGTACTTTGCCTTTTTCTTATGAATGGTATATGTCTTCTAAAAGCACAACAATTTGAAGCTTACAAAACATCAAGAAAGGTTTATATTCAACCCCACACTTTGCATTTCCACGTACTTTTCTATGTGACTCCATGAGGTCAGTCAGTTTATTATTATTCCATTGTACAAATTAATGGTTAAATGAACTGTACAGACGAGGCTTGCTTTCTAAAAAATTACAGCGGTACGCTTGGTTGATTAGAGTCATAGAAAGCCTATAATCTGTGCTTGAGTAAAAAAGAACGACACGCTTAAACTACATCAAATACCTAATAAATAGCACACATATCAAGACACGAATGTAAAGTACAAGGACTGTATATAACTTTATATAAGTAACAAAATCAGACTTGCTTGTTTTTATTGTGTGTGTTTGGGCCCTCCATAATGCGAAAGTCACTTTGCCGAAGCTCCCTTCTGAAATGTCAACAAGCGTTTCATGTGAGCTTGCTTTTCTTTTGAAATGAAAAAGAATATGTGTAGCAACATACACTTTTGGCCTCTCTCTTTCTCTCTCGTCACGCAGTACGATCAACAGAAAGGTTCGATTGCGGCAACCAGTCTATCACAATAGAACGAGTGTGCGACTTCGCGAAGGACTGCGCCAATGGCGACGACGAGCGAAACTGTGGTTCATGTAACTTCAAGAAAGACTTGTGTGGTTGGATAGGCGACGGTCTCTTGAATCGCGGGACGACTGCATGGCGCCGGCAAGTGGTGGGCGAAGTAAAAAACTCTCCCACCACAACAGCGTACGCTAGCAGAAAAGGTGAGTTCAAATGAGTAGCTCGTAAGAACAGAGGCAACACAAATAGCCGTAGCCAGGAGACGCTACAAGTTTCGTGCGTGATAGGTAGTAGGGTAGTGTTGCAGTGTCTTAACTTCCTAAAATATCATTGCGGCATACCCAAGCGCATATATGAGGACAGCCAAATCTGAATTTAGTGGAGCACTTTAAAGCAATCAGATCGCAAACCGCAAGAGATTCCAAACGCTCTATGTAGTAAGCTTTTGTGGAATACAACCACTCTCTTCTCAACCTTCTAGTTATAGTGAAATGCTTCCTACTTGAAGTCACTCACGTTATTTTGTTTAATTATCCGGTGAGTGGTGTTTTTTTTATGATATACTGGGCTCCTTTCTTTTAACCTTAATTTGTGTATACTGCACTAGTAATCTTACAAGTGCGAAATATAATAAAAACCGAATCATTCATCCGGTTACCTGGCTATATCTAGTATTTTATCAGGACACATTTAAGAGTGCAGGTGCGTTCTTTTCAATAAATTTGAAGCGATTCCTCCGAAACCAATGGCACTTTAACCATTCCCATCTGTCCGCCTACCTATCTAGTTGCCTGTGTCGGGGCGCTCTCTTGGTCGCTTGCTTAATTTGTTATATACTGATTTCACCTAGGTGGGCCTGAGTGTGTTACGAACGTGATGAACGTGTCATGGCATGAGTAACAAAACGTGCCTACGATGTACGTCATAAAATTCTTTCCCTCAGTAACGTGTGGCGCATACCGGCATTACCAAGGCAGTACGTAAAGAGCTGTACGCCATAGGTGACGCATATTCTATATTAGGCCAGAAATAATAAAATAGACATATCTCATAGACACTTTCTTTTCAATGGGTGAGAGAATGGCATATGCTTTGTTAATTCAACAAATTTTATGCAGCCCACGAGGCACTACAGATATATTTGTATGACTTAACATGCTCTGGCCTGCTTACATGCTGCTTACATCTCGTTTTAATAAAAGTAACGACTGTGGTGTTACTTGTGCGGCTTGCGTTACTACAGAGAGTAAGCTATCCTTTATGACGCCACTGTACTTTACAATACGCACACAATCGACGTCTGGCAATCGGACGGTATGCACACAACTACTCAAATGAAAAAAAAAATATGCCAATATTTCTGGTACGACTTGGCTGAAAGTGTAGCATAGGCAGCTCTTCATTGATTTCTTCGCATGCACTGGATTCCTACAATCCGTGCAATCTGCCAAAAGTTTCAATCTATTTCCCGCTGTGCACGGCGTGTTATCAAAGGCGAAAGTTGCGGGTACAAAAAAGACACTGGCTTCCTTCTCCCCGCTTCTTAGGCTGGCGGAACTTTTTATTGGAACCGAGTAACGGCTGCATATTGTTCTAGACATCTAGTCTAAATCTACAACAAATGTTTGACAAGCCTACACAATTTTCACCACAACGAAACATTTATTCTGCGTACCTCTCTTACACTTTACTGCGAAGTTCTCGTGGCTTTATAAAACGAAACTGGTAACTTGTGGTGCTAGTGTTTTTCGCTCAACGCAGAATTCACGCTTGATGTAGACACTCTATTTTAAGCGACCTCTTCTGAAAAATAGTAAGTTGGATTTTGCTCTGTACTTTCCTTTTCGTGTGCGATTTCTTTCAACAAGATTTCTATGCTGAGTATGAACTTTTTTGACTGTGCTTTTTCAGATGCACCTTGTATTGGGCTAATAGTTTACAAGAACTAGAATGCTTGGTTTTTAAGAAAGGTAATTACAGCAAACTCTGCGAGCAAACTACATTAAACAAGGAAGTTTTAGGTTTTAGTATAGGAAAAAAAGAACGCTAAACCAGATACATTCTAAATTACTTTTTTTGGAAAGAAACAGTTACAATAAAGTTTATACATTTTTCAAGAAACATGAAAACACTAATACTCAAACTTTTAACATTTTGTACTGCTGAGCGCGCCAACTCGTTGGCTCATAAGTGCGACACATGAAATGCAGTAATCTTCAATATTTCACCTAATAGCTTTATCTTCTGGATCTGTCGGCTTACTACGTCTGTAGCAACATAACAACCAATGTGTTACTGCAATCGTCATCATTGTAGTTTGCTCCGAAAAGTTTTATGGTGTTTCTCAGGGGGCTGTAAACTTTTGATAAAAAATCAAGATGAGCTTTCGAATAACAAAAAAGACTTACGTTTGCGTACGTACGTTTCAGGATACTACCTCCTCCTTTCTTCGAATGCTACGAGGCCCAGTAGAAGATTAGGGCGTGCGATAATCGACTCTCCGGTCATCAGAAACACCAACAAATTGTGCACCATCACGTTTTGGTTCAACTACATTGCAAATGGTGAGTGCGTTCTCGCAAGTAGCACCCACATTGTGGAGTTCATTATGAATTGCTTAAACCTAGAATCTCGTCAGCTAGAAGTTTTTAGCGCGGAATAAAACTTGGTATGAGGTAACACATTGCTTCAATACGGTAATTCTGCATAGCGTCCAACACTCAGTGAATAAGCCAATGGAGAGTTTTTTTGCAAGTGGTCTCGAACGGCCGCGAAATAGTGAGGCGCAGGTTGTGTTGACTAATCTGCTGTGCCGATTAGTCAATACAACCTGAGCAGCTGAAGCAGTTCATCACTATTACTGATTTTACCTGCATCCAATAAGGGTTGGTGTTGGTAAAACACTTTTTTCTTACCTGGTCACGAATTTCCAACAAACATGCTTGGCGGAGAAATGGTCCAATGTCAAGGATCTGAATACCTTGTTGCTGTTGACGCTTCCCAGTCAAATTCTAATCTTTCAAAACTGTATTAAATTATCGAGTATTCTTGTAACCGTATAAAAACAATTTTCAGACTCCCTAAAGTCATCATATAATTATCAAAAAACTTTAGTAGGAGAACATTGATTCCCTATCCATTAGCAAGGCTCTCCTGTACTTTCTTTTCTATTTAGGATAAAAAAAAAAAGATCGCACGTGATGGACGCATTATGATGAATAATATAAATGCTTACTTCCTGACTATAAAATTGAATATAGAAATAAACATCAGCATTCCAGAGATAAAATTTTAATAGAGTCAGACATTTGTCAGAGTTTAGCCAAGACAAATTTCGGAGGTCTACATCAACCTGTTCTAAAATCTTTAGTCAGGGTGCACTGAAATCTGGAGTGGTGCACAGATTTTCTTAGTCAATGAAAAACTGGTCAAGTCATTTTAGCTGCTCATACTCCAAACTTTGCACTCAAATTTTTACGAGAAATGCTAGTTGGGCACGAATCATCCATGTTTGCTTTAAAGAAAGCTCCCCCAATAAAACTTGCCAGCCTCCTCGTTATGAAACAATTAAAAGTAGCGGTAAGTTTTGTTTGTGCATCTTGCATGCACGAAATACCACCCTCTCTTTCTTTTTTGTTTGTTGAAATGTCCGCTATTGTTAGAATTTTAAGGCGTATCTGGACCTTATCTCATACAGTGGCCACTTAATACATGTCATTTCCAACCCCATTTTATCGCTCACTAATTGATTGTTTGGTCATTACGATATAATACGTGTCACGAAAATTCTTATTTCACCAATACCTAAGACTTTTTTTACAAACTGCATACAGAAACAATACGCGTAAAAGCCTGCCTACACAACAAAGGCCTCTTTGCATCCTCAATAATGGTCGCCTCTGTGAAGTTCCAGAAACAAGAAAATATTGCTTCATTGGTTGTAAGGACACCATCTCCTTTGCGAACGTCCTGCAGAGTGCTTTTAGAAACGACTGGATTTAAATTCTCATTGTACCGATTACCTTCTACCGCTGAAATTCAATGATATGCCAGTTGACACGCTGTCTTTAATGGCCATGTATCGTTTATGAAAACTCGCATGTTCGAGAGGCTTGCGGAACCAATTGTGCCTTCGCAATGCCACTATGCACAAGTTACTGTGCAGCTAAAACACTTTTATGACCAACTGCAGTTTCAGCCGGACTTCTATACTGAGTTCATAAAGTGTGCTGCTCAAGTACCCCTTAAGGCATTCTGTTTTATGATATTTGCTTTGCAATGTCCGTTGTACATTCGATGAAGCGGCCTTATGCATGCTGTACGTTATGTATATACGTAAATCACATTCGTATTAAATTCCATGCAAGATAAAAAAAGAAAGACGCGGTCGTGTTGTAGAACACCCGTTTGCCACGCATTGCCCGGGTTTGATCCCAACTCAGACCCAGAATTTTTCATCGTTTATTTTATTTGTTGCATCTTTTTCCATTTTTCTGCAACACAAAGATGCTCGATAGGCACACCAATATCAACGCTAAAATTGTCCACCGCTAAGCATAAACTTGACATTTTATCCTCATTGCTTTTTTTCATCTCTCTATTTCTGTCTATAACTTTCTCTATTTCTCCTTTTCTCTGTTATGTGCTAAGCTCTTCTTCCAACCTTACTCTTCTCCAAACCGTCCCATCTTCCTTGACTTCCACTTCCCACCCCCTTGCTACACCATACTTTACAAGGCTATGCTACATTCTGCTAGCGTGCCTTGATAGCCGAGTCGTTAGGGAACTCACTTTTGAATCGAGGGTATGCTGGTTTGAATCCACACTCTTGAAAAATTTTTAATTGGAAAACACTTCTCCGCAAGCTTCGGCGACTTTAGGAGTATCTATCTATCTAGCCGCCTAAGAACTCGTGCTTTCATCGTCATTCGGTTATTAGGATGTATACCGAAATTGGCATAGGAAAACATGACTGTAGGATAAACACAAATGGCAGCTCTCATAAGGAAAATCATGATAGGCATATTATGAAGAGCATCACCTACTTCCCATGGTCTTTGAGCTCTGGCAGCTGTTTCTTTGACGTGGTATACACCTACGTTTGTACTCTATGACAATAGAGCGAGAGAAGCGAAACTAACGAGTCTTAAGGTGCGAATCACGACATATATGTCATGTAAGGAATGATTTACCAGTCAAGATCTCCGGGTGCTCGCGATCGTTTCATATGCTGAATATGCAACAAAATTCGTATTCTGAAATGTGACTGACGAACATAACTGACAGCTCGCATAATGAAAATATTGATATGCATGTCATAAAAGCATAACTCATTTTCCACGGTATTTCAACTCTTGCAGCCATTTTGTTAAAATTACATACATCTAAATATCATTGCCATGAACAGAATGTATGACAATCAAAACTTACAATACACCAAGTGCAAATCATGACATGCATATCATATAATGCATATCCGGACACTCGCTACCATTTATTTGCGTAGATGTGCAACGAAATGGTTATTCCGTGATGGGACTGTATAACGAAGATCAATGGCAGGTGGTAGCATGAAAATCATGACATGCATGTCATGTACACCATGACTTACATGCCCCGCTCACGGTGAGCTGACTGCTGTTGCAACCGCTTGGTATACTCCAAAATGGGCAATGTCTGTCTGTCTGTCTGTCTGTCTGTCTGTCTGTCTGTCTGTCTGTCTGTCTGTCTGTCTGTCCGTATTTTGTCTGTTTGTCCGCCCTAACGATACCTCAAACGGCATCAAACAGCCAACTCATCCGCAGCGCCCACCAATATTGCTCAAGGTTTAGCGTTCATAGTTGTGCGATTGTCAATTAAAAAGTAACTATTGCGCATATCTGAGGCGCCATAACAACACTTTCGAAGTTTTGTATGTCTGAATTTATACTAGAAGAGGCACACACAAGTAACTCTAAGAAATGTACCGTTTATCGCTCTGTGCTGACAGTGCAACGCGATGCTCGAAAAGGTGTTTCCAACGCTTTGCTACGACGTCACGGGGGTGGCACTGGCCCGTCGCTTTGCATTCTACACCTTATCACCTCCGAGACCCGCGCGCATCTTTCTGTTAATGCTGCACGCCTTCGTTTTCGAAGATAACTGCCAGATGGCACTTGTGTCTAACGTGCCTAGATGCGCTCGTTCGCCTCCGCCACCCGTTCGAGGCACCCTAACGCAGTGCCTACAGAATACCCTTCACCCATTTTCTTGCGCAGAACATCAAATAAACGTTATGTTCACTCCCTTCGGATGACAGACTATCGTCTTTCGAGGATATTTACAGTGTAACATGTAGATTCGGGCCAATTTTTTACTTCATTTTCATCTTTCGCGATTATTCGGGCACGCACAGATGCCGCGTTTTTCACTAACGCAATATGATGATTTTTCGCTCACAATTGACGACGCCAGCACTGGCATTGCTGCGAGACAAGCTCTTTAAGGATATTGTGTTGAAATAATCACTTGTGTTTAATGCAAATCATGATTTGCATGCCACGCTCAATGTTAGTGCGCGGTCGTTTTTCTCATTTGATATACACTAAAATTGTTATTACGTAATGATTGTCTAAAGAACACGTATGAAAAGTGGAAAAATAAATTTAATTTCAACATGTAATGTGTGCTGTGACTTACGTGCCACACTCATAGTGATCTCGAGGTCGTTTCACTCATATCACAACCCCCAAGACTGGTGTGGTGTTATGTGCCTGTATGACGACCAGATATGACAGGTGATAACAGGAAACGAATGACATATATGTCTTGTATGCCATAACACGTACATGGTGTGCTCGCTGCCACTTCGATAATTTGATGTACATTAAGATTGGTACGGCATGACGAGACTGCATGGCCAACATACATGACTGACGGCAACATAAATTATTGGCATGTATGTCCAGCGTTCCACTATTTACATGCCTAGCTGATGGCGAGCTCTCATGCAGTCATTCCGCTCATTTGATATTCGCTTATATTGGTGTTGTGTGGCGTGACTGTATGAAGAACATATATGACAAGTGGTAGTGCGAGAACAAGGGCTTGCATGCTGCAAATAGCGTGGTTTAGACGCCGCTCTCATAGCTAGCTAGCTTGCAGCTGTTTAGATAGCTTGCATGCTCATTTATTTATTTATTTATTTATCTATTTATTTATTTTTATTCATTTATTATACCTCAGAAGCCCTATTCAGGGGTTTTACATGAGGGGTGGACATTTATTGTGAACAATATCATTGGCTGTCAGTAAAGAGCTTTAGTACATAATGTCTTTGATTGCTTCGTGAAAATGGATGGGGCTGGAAATGACAACGGCGTTGGTTGGCAGATCATTCCAGGTATTTGCTGTTTCGATAAAAAAAAAAAGAATGCTGATTAGCAGAGGTGAGGGTCTTTCCTGGGTAAACAGCCAATGGGTGGTTGATGCGGTCAGAGTGACGATGAGCTTCTTCGATGACTGTCGTAGCAATGCGTCAATGATAAAACTTATGAAACAAGCACAGCCCCTCAATTTTGCGCCTTGTTAGGAAGATTAGCTTGGCTTTTTAGTTTAGTGACGCTTATGTGGTAAGAGTAGGCCGAATAAATGAACCTTGTCGCACGGTTTCCCACATATTCAAGTGTATTAGATAAGTTAATTAGAGATGTGGGAATCCCAGATCGCACATTCGTACTCAAGTTTAGGTCGGACCAATGTTTGATATGCGAGCAATTTGACGGGTCAAGAACAAAAACGTACATTATGGCGCAAATACCCCAGAATGCGATTAGAATCATTGGGGACGTTCGAAATGTGAGTTGACCAAGTCAGATCATGGGTCAAGGAAACACCGAGGTATTTAAAAGATTGAACAGATGAAACGTTAGAACTGCCAATTACGTAGCGATCTGGCACGTATGTCGTTCTGCGGTGGAAAGACAGTAATGAGGTTTTGGGGACATTAAGAGGCATTAGCTATGTATCACACCAATTCTTAATAATACTAAGGTCACGCTGGAGAAATAAATTGCCGTTACAAGTGTAAATGGGGCGATATAAGACGCAATCATCAGCAAATAGACGTATGTTAGATTGAATATTATTCGGCAAGTCATTAATGTAAACTAGAATTATTAAGGGACCTAAAACTGTTCCTTGAGGCACTCCTGAGAGAATGGGAGATGAACTAGAAGAGCGCGAGTTAGCGAATACAAACTTCTTACGGTTAGTTAGGAAATTTTTTAACCAAGTCAATACAGCGTGATCAAGGTTTAGACCAGATAGCTTCAGAAATAATCTGCTGTGTGAAACTTTGTCAAATGCCTTCTAAAAATCAAGAAATAGGGAATCACAGGAACATTTTTATTGAGGCTGGTACTGACGTCGTTAATAAATAAGGCTAACGGAGTGCCGCACGAGAGTTCTTTTAGGAAGCCATGTTGATTGGGATGGAAAATGTGTTGGGACATTAGGAATTTCGTTATGTGGGAATAAATAACATGTTCCATTATTTTCATGGTATACTGGTGAGTGAGATCGGATGGTAATTACTTTGAGCTGATGGATTACCTTTTTTTGGTACTGGAATATTCTTTCCTACCTTCCTGTCCTCTGGGACCACTCCAGATGATAGTAATTGCTCGAAAATGAGCGAAAGTATTGCACTAGATATGTGTTTAAACTTTTTAGGATTTTTGAATTGATGCCGTCAACGCCGATGACGAAGTGAGTTTCAGTGATTCAATCAGTTTCATTATGCCATTAGCTTAAAAGGTGATTCTGGACATGACGGGGTGATTGTAAAGAGGAAAATTGGGTAATCCTGTACAGGGTTCTTTGGTGAACGCCGAGCCAAAGGCACAGTTTATTTCTGGGCAACACCATAAGCTGGAATAGGACAGTTGCGTTCGTCACGCAAGCTGACCGGTTTTGAATGGTGAGCTGGCGGCTGTTTCGCTAGATTCATATACACAAAAATTGGCATTCTGCGACCGAATAAGAAGCATGTATGATATGTATTAAATCGGTATATTGACATTGATGTCATGTTTGTCATCAATGCCATGGATTCTGCTCTTAGCTATCTGCTTCGAATTGATCGATTCTCCCAGTGCTCCGTGTCTTCCGGAGTTTTTTTACAATTTCTTTCTTTCCTTTCTTTATATTCCCTTCCTTTTGGTCTATAGTTTTTTCCTCTAATTATCCAATTTTTTACTTTTTCTATTTCTCCGTGCGCTTTTTTGTCAACTATCAAGGTTATTACAGTCCACGCAAGAAAAATTGATGAAGCTGTCCTAAAATGAATGCAGAATAGGCGGAAGAAAGCGCATGCCGGTTGATGTTGACAATTTTGGGTCGCAACAGACATTTATCGTCGAGCTAGAATAGCTCACTCTCTAAAGGCAAGAGGATGTGCCACGAAATAAAATGCACGTAGTCTAGCTAGTCCACTCAACCTCTCATGAGTTTCTCTTTTTAACATTCACTTCGAACCTTACATGCGTTACGTATAAGTGAAAAGCATTCACTAACATGTACGGGATTGTGTATCCTAATCAACCTGGTACTTGTACATTTTTTTAGGAACTTCCATGGATGTGGACCTGGTCATGAGGACAGGTGGTTTCACCTTCCCCGTGTGGACACTCAGTGCAATGAGCGATGCTCCCGAAGAAAAAACCTGGAGGGAAGAAGAAGTGGTGATCGGTCGTTATCGTTCAGGAATAAATGTAAGTAAAGCAAAGCCTAATTCCTCTATTATTCAATCATTCATTCATTTTTATTTACCTCAAAAGTCCCAGTTGGGATAATACATGAAGGAGTGGGTGATAGAAAGGCTAATAATATAAGGGTAGTTATGATGACATGGTTTCGATGAGCCGCTTCAAAGCTTAGGTGTCGATGATGGGGGTGACTTCGGTGGGCAAGTCATTCCAGTCTCGGGCTGTGCGCAGGAAAAACGATCGGCGAAAAGTGACGGTATGGGCTTGTACTTGATGACGCTACAGTGACTCTTTTTTGTTGGTTGAACTGCCTCTACAGTGAACGAGTTTGATTGCGGCTAAATGTTCAGTGATATAAATCATGCAGCGAGCTTTTCTTTCTTCGTGTTGACACTTTACTTAGAGCAAGAAGTATGCGTACCCTTAATTAAAGATTGAGGCTTCAATATAAATCTGGGAGATAGCTTCTGTAGTGTGTGTGAACCGTTTCTTCAGATAACGCCAAAAATTGATCTCTTTGGTTTCACCGCCGGATACTCAAATCGCGATTTTAAGATGATAACATTTTGAATAGTTTTCGAATGCTTTGAGACAATACTGTGGACAAGATTACATCAATTATGAGCATAGACAACGAACCAGCGCATGTGACGATATTTATGACGCACTAAAACATCTGGGATGATGTGTAAGCAAGACGTTTCCATCTGGGACATTTTGCCTTTCAACAAAAGTAATTGGTGCTGAGTTTTCAGCGCATCATCATAATATATAGGCTACGTATTGAAAGAATGAAAAATATTGTTTACTGACACATTTAAATTATCATTTATTCGGAATGAAGCTGAATACGTTAGCGGCAATATATTTGGCGCAACGGTGGAGTTGTCTGCGTTTGAAGTTTGCTTTGGAGAAACCGGAATGATCTTGCTTACTTAAACACGCAGCGAGTGAATAACTCCAAAAGACTGGCGTTAAAAAGCCTGGAAATTGGAACGCTTCTTTAAAGCCCGCATTTAGAAGTGCAAGCACAGTGGTCTGTATTTGAGGTTAACTGTTACGATGGTCATTTTGACCACCGAACTTCTTTCTTTATTCTTTTTTCTTGACGCGCACATAATAAATTTCGGATGCTGTTGCCTTACCGATTGTATTGTCCGCATAAGGTTAAAAACCACAATTGCCAGGGCTTTATTCTCTATCTTCCCTTTCTTTCTCTCTCTCTTCTTTGTTCGCGCTTTATTTTATTTCTCTATTTGGTTCCATGTCTTAATGCCCTTCTATCTCTTTATGTTTTATTTGTCGTTATTTTTTACGAACTTTCTTTCTATTTTTTTTCGTTCTTTCTTTAATTCCCTTTTGCCTTGTTTTTTCGCTCTCTATTTTCGCTTTGTTTTTTTCTGCCTCTTTTTTATTTTCTCCCTCTATTTCACGGACTTCGCGTTCCACTTCGCTGAACGGAGCTTTCATTTAACGATGGTACGTGTTATGGCTTGTCAAATTTCTGTTGCGTATCCTTACATGTGAATTTTTTCAAGGTGGGGCGTCAGTTACCCATAGCTTAAATAGTTCTGCTGTTGGAAAAGAACTCTTTCGTATAAGGCTGTACTAAATTTGGTGGCCGTGAAGAAAAAAGTATTTTAGGAAAATATTCAAGGCACGTGTTATGCACACAAACAGACATTAATGCAACCACTTTTCATCTGTTCAAGTGCGGCTTTGCCTTCATTATGCGAAAAATAAAAAAGGAACAGAATTTTATTATGAAATTAGTTCAATGCTTACCCAGTTAACACAACACAAAATGACTATAGAGTCTCTTGGCGTCTGTTGACCTAAGCATAGAAAGAGTTGCTTCGGACATATTTGCTAAACATTACCTTCAGAGACTTGCCTTGTTTTTTCAGTTTTATTTCAACGGTATACAAACTAAGCCCGATATGTCGCTCTTTGCTGTGGACGAGATCAAGTACAACTACTGTGCACTACCAGGTAAGAGTGAAAAAACTTTTTTTTTCTTTGATAGGTAATGCGTGTGGCTGCATTGAGAGCTGGAGAGATGATTGGTTTTCGTAGTGGGGGGGCCAGTAGATATGAGGCAATCACAACGTTTTCTACACATGTTCTTTGCAGTCTTGAATAATGCACGGCTCAATGCAATGAACAATAAGCCTTGCATTGTTTCCTGAGCGATCGCTTGGAGTGAACATACAAAACCTCTTCATAAGTTAGTTGCACCTTTCTGCAGACGACCTGTATGCTTCGTGTCACACGTGTAATATATTTCTAGGCTAGGCATTCCTGGATATTCAGTCCATGATTTTTTATACATCTCGTGACATGCTATATCAGTGCCCTCGCAGTATTTGTGAAGCTGAAATGTTCAGATCTTCTTGTCACATTATGCGCTTGCCTAGTGCATGAGCAGCGCAGTTTCTATAAAGCCGGAATATACCTTCAGATTCTACACATTTTCAATATTTTCCAGGCGTTGATTTGACAACAATGCGCAATAAACTTTTTATGGCGAATAAACTGTGGGCTGTTGCTTTGCGTATCACGTAGGTTTTAGAGACGTATGTGTGATTTAGCAGGCAAATCCGATTTTCGTAAGACCGCAGCTGCTGACTGGGCTGCTCACTGGGCCGTATCGTTATACGATTAGCTGCATGTCGTGCTACCCACGAGCAGCTACTCGTTGGTAACATGGTGTGTAGCAACTTGTATAAAGATAGGGTGTCTCGTTTGTTATATGGAGTGTTGGATGAAATAAAAAAATTGCATTAGCCTGTCAATATTGTTCACGCGTGGTGTGATTATCTCTTAACTGCTTGTAGGAGTTAGTTGTTATATTCGGCTCCATCATTCATACTTGCAATGTCGCGTCTTCTGATGGGGCTAAACTTTCCGCATAAATTTGGTTCTGAAGTCATAGTTTCTGACTTTCATGACAGTTGTCAAAACGCTCCGGTGAGGAATCACGGGAGTACGAGCACTTAGCTCTGTGGTAGATCCCACCGCTGAGCACTCATTGTTGCGGCTCCCACCGCTGTACTCCAGTTGTTGCGGATCTCAGCACTGCTTATCAGTTGTTGCGGATCGGGGTCTACCCGGTCTCTTGTGGTAGCGTGGTGTAGCTTCGGGTTGAGGAAACGAACGCTCACAAGATGGGGATACGAAAAAACAAACAGGTTTATGGCGCTATTTACACTTATTTACAGCATAGAAAGGTTAGGGGTTTCACAAACCACGAGCGTGGTGGTTAAACCGTTACATGGTTCAGAGCGACGTCCAGCACTCTGCTACGTCGTTATAAGCCCTGTCGGGGTCCTCCTTCTTGAGTGGAACACCAATCACACACACACAACAGGCGAGGGGTACAAGCATGTACGGCCCACGTGAACATCCAATATTGAGTTGTGATCACTGCACTGCAAGGTGGCGCCAGAGGGGCTCTTTCTCGTCATGTGTGTGCCGCTGGTCGAGGGGTCCCAAGCTCCTGACAGCATACATCAAACGGTCCGCCGATCTGTCCGCTCAATTAGCAGGGCAATTTGTGGCGGCGGCCGCGGTTTCTTCGAAAGAAGGCGCTGTCTTTGTTGTCCTCTGTGGAACGGCTTACGGCGTCTTGGCAGGGACAATAGCTCCGGCTAGCAGGGACAATACCTGGCGGGCATAGGCAGCCGGCCAGTCAGCTACTTGTTCGAGGATTAAAAGAGCACCACGCCCCCGTCAGCTCTGGACGCTGGTTCCGAGAGAACTGGGGTTCCAGGCGTGGGAACGCTGCCCGGCTACGCTTCTCAGCGACAGCATGGCGCCTACTGTCGACGGTCATAACAGCTGTAATCGTACCTTCATTAAATGTCATTATAATGGAGAGGTGTAGAAGATGTGTAGGAAGTGGGAAATACGGGTTACATTCCCAGCTGACACGGCTGGGTTTGCATAAAAAGCTTCGTGTTCGCTTCTATCGTTAGCCAAAGAACACGATTTGAGCTATGATAATAGCAGGGAGAAACACCACGTTCATCATTTACTTTATAAGAACTAGTGGTGGCTTTGTTCGCATGAGCGAGTGAAGAAGGCTATTTCGCTGGCCTTTATACGTTACAGAATCATGACTACGACGGGCTGTGACTCCACTTCAATATGCACTTTTGGGGGGGGGGGGGTCCTCAGCAGCCCTGTAGAGATTGGGCTGTGTTCGAAGATCAAACAGTGTTATGTTGCCTCTGTTTTTTTTTGTGAAGTCGTATCGGGACTGCAAAAGCAATAATTACCTCCATGCTCTGAAAGTCAGCGAAATTTTGAAAAAAAAAAGCACAACTGATATTACTCGAAGACCTTAACTTTCTATGGCTGCAAATAGATGAATTTGTGTGCCCCGCCATGGTGGTCTAGTGGCTAAGGTACTCGGCTGCTGACCCGCAGGTCGAGGGATGGAATCCCGGCTTCGGCGGCTGCATTTCCGATGGAGGCGGAAATGTTGTAGGCCCGTGTGCCCACATTTGGGTGCACGTTAAAGAACCCCAGGTGGTCAGAATTTCCCGAACCCTCCACTATGGCGTCTCTCATAATCATAAGGTGGTTTTGGGACGTTAAACCCCACATATCAATCAAAGCAATCAATCATCAATCAGATGCCTTTGTAAAATAGATCAGAGTAGAGCAAAGGAGGGGAGTAATAAGCACGAGACAACAACGCTAGCATTTCACATATAACACCTAGGAATTCTACACTTCATACAAAACTGAGAGTACGCCCCCTAGCTGTGTCGGAATAGCCGAGTGGTCTAAGGCGGCAGACAGACTCAAGGGGAAACCTTGCCCAGCGATACGTATTGAATGAAGTACGCCCCCTAGCTTGAACGGAGTTCACGGCTTTTAACGTAAAAGCGCAGTGCAATAACTGCATGGGCTCATGGGGAGAGTTTCCGAGACGCGTCTTTGCGCATGGATCTGATTTATCGTTTAAGTTCGCTTCCTTCTGGCTTTAACTCAGAATTTACATACTTTGTTCGCACCGTGCTTTCTCGGCAATGCCCATTTTCCTGCACTAGTGTCAACTCATGAGTTATGTGAATAATAAAGCTGTAGCAAAAGACAGAGCGTGACGTGAAGTATATGAAGCCACTTTATTTACGGGCGCAGCCAGCTGCCGCCACTCCGCTTCAGCTCGAGGAATAAAGTGGCAGGAGTAGCACTGCCACGTCATCGCCTTCACGACATCGTCTCACGTCTCTGCCTCTCGCTATAGAGTAATCCACTGAGAGCTTCAGTGAGAGCTTGCACCTATTTGTGTAACTTCTCACTTTTCGCATGTGTATCTAAGTGGCTAGACTATGCATATATGTAATGGTTCAGGACATGAACTTGTCAACTGACATGTACCGATCGTGCGCGCATATCAGGCATGTTCTACCTTAAGCGAACTCGCTGTTATACACTGTACGTCCTTTTCATGTCGGTTCCTAATGACGTTTGCCACATGAAATTAGTGTACCGTTTATGTTATTTTTCACAACGCTGTTGTTCTGCCACTTGATTTCATATATATCTTTATTTCAGAATAGTTTTTAATTTATAGCCTGATTTCTAATGTTTGTCTTTGCAGGTATTAAACACCAATGAGTTCCTCTCCTCATGAAAAATAGTCCTAAATGAGCCCAATATTATGCACTTGCTGCTGTTCTAAAAAGCCAGTTTCGTGGCAATGGCAAAGAATTCAGTGCAATTTCTAATAAATATGAAGGTTACACAATTATTGGTAGCAACTATCTTCATTAGGATTCTATTTGGCATATTTTTACGGCGCATTTGTGTAAGGATGCACGGTCTCTGAAAATGCGAAGAGGTTCGCTCGCTGTCGCGTCAACACGAAGTATGCGGTGAGAGCAGAGCGCGTACAAAGGTCTGAGAAGGAATGAAAGAGGAAGGACAGGGATGTCCAAAGGTATAACCTGTCTACTATGCGTAGTTGCGACAATGCACACTTTTGAACGAAGTTAGCATGCGATGGCCGAGTTACGCAGCCACCTCTGCCACCCTCCCCATTTCTTTTGCATTGCGGAGCTTGCATGTCCAGTCAATTTACTTCGTTCGATGGTGGGTGCCGTTTGAGCTCTTCATAAAGCCCCTGACGACGAAATTTTGAGCCCTTCGAGATTCACTGTTAGCTACTGTATAGAACAATGCATTAATGATCAACGTTGTTTGAACTGTCCTGTAATGTTTCCAAAATGCGTTTACCTTTCTTCCTAATTTCGATATTGCGATGTTCTTTTTTGTTGCACTGCAGGAATGGGAAGCTGTACGAGTTAAAGAATTCGCTGCTCTGGAAAAATGCCTGGAAACCTGATTAAAGCTAACACTCTTCGTTGATTGCTTGTTTTCTATGTGCAGAAAAAGAAGACAACTGTACCGAGATGCAGTTTCGCTGCGCTAGCGGAGCATGCGTGATGAACTACGACCGATGCAACTACGTCGACGACTGTGGGGACAACAGTGACGAGATAGATTGTGGTTGGTTAACTAAATATGACACTAATAAATCAAATTCTAATGACGGGAACATAACTAAACAAATGGCTACAAAGTGTCTCGCTGCTTAGGTCGTATTGCAATATTGCAGTGATGAGGTAGAACTACGACATAACAGCTAGGTAATATTAGGAAGCTGTTGAGTGAAAATCCGCTCGCTCATCTGTTCTACTTCAATTCGAGGAGCTGTGTGTACTACTGTTTCTGCCATCACTGTTTCTTAATAGATACATAGTGCTGTTCAACAGAAGAAGGTTTGTAAATTCCAGTATGTGGCAAAAAGGGCATTCAGGAAAAGCTAGCTACTTGGAACGACACTTGCTGCTGTGACCATGATGAGTCAATTCGTTATGTTTGTCTCAGTGGCACTTTGTGTTGAAAAGTTTCTCACAACTTCTTATTTATTCGTGCGATTCATTATATCAATTTGGATGAATGCAATACGAAGGACGGTGAAGAAGTTGAACATCAATGAAAGACTTCTCTGTGCATAATGTGGCACTTTTTTATTCGAATGCATTATTGTGTAACTAGCTTGAGTGTGCCCTTTCTTGAGTGCTATTTCTCTTTCAGCTGGAAGTGTCAATATTTCCTCATAAAGAACTTTTCCTGATTTGAGATACTCATTTTGTCGCACGTCTTATCTTTAGGTGACCATCGACTCAGCTGTAACTTCGAGAATTCTTTCTGCGATTGGTTGCCCCAGGCGCCTGCGGACAAAACGAAGAAAACGTGGAGCCTTCACCGGCCATCTCCATTTCTCTTGAACTCGCCGACGCGGGACCACACTACGGGAACACCGGAGGGTATGCAGTGTTACAAAATTATTGCACGATATAATGTCTAGAAAAAGAATATTGATCAAGGCTGCATAATGCTGCTGTGCGTTATTGTAATAGCACATACCATTATGTTGCCTTGATCTCAAAGGGCCACGGGCATGGACCCCATGATGGTGAGAACTACAATTAACGCAATAGAGTTAGTGACAAAGCGAAGTTATCTGTAATACGGCTCGTCAACCTAGATGAACGCATAATGAAAGCAAACACATGCAGGTTGGAACACAAAGAGCAAGTTAACTGTAGCTTAGAACACCATGATAAGTATCATCGAGATGGTAAATTAGTCTGTAAAGAGAATATTTCTATAAGGACAAGGTAAATGATACGTGCATATTCTTCTCAATAAATAGTCGTAGGTTAGCTACGCGAAGGCATACTTAAGAAGAAATGAAGATTCATGTAGGAGTCTTATTAGGATGTTATAAAAAAGGCAATGAATCGTAAAGCATGATGAATATGAAGAAAAAAAAACTTCCAAGGACGCTTAAGTGTCGCCTGTAAGAGTGAAGAGAGAGAAAGATGCAAGGAAGGAAAGGGAGGTTAACGAAACGCTTGTCAAGTTTGCTACCCTGCTCTGGGAAAGGATGAATGAGAAAAAAGAGATAGGAGAGAGTGAAGAAAGATACACATGTTAACGAGCACACTTGAAGGAGCACGTGCAGTCTACAGGTGGTCGCTCAGATGTGTCCAAGTTTATCAGTAGCGTTATAATGCCCTATTTGCATCAGCTTTTCATTTCTTTGCTATACTTGGGTCCACTACGAACCACACAAGAGCCCTGTGAAAGAAGCAATGTCTGCGCTGGTGGCATCGACCGTTGTGAGTTCTGCTGGAGCACTTTGCAGAAGCACATTTGTGAGCTATCCACTATGTCACGATTTATAATTTTTCTAAGCAGTGACACTGCAATTACGCGCCTGTAAGTGGTACACGCGCCAGCATGCCTGTATAATTGGTTCATGATGTCGCCGAGAACGATGACGGTCATAAATTACAGCCTTAGTCTTGTGTAATGAGTAGCAAGCATCAAACGATGCCCTTGTAACGCAATTGGCAGGTCGGACGATCGGTGCGACTCTACATTTTTGGCGCGCAATATTACAAGTTTCTATTATTTACCACAGGATTACTTCACCATCATTATTTTACGTAGAATGGGAGAATACAAATATTAACACTAGAGATGAATTAGGCACACATAGACTCATGATAAGAAATTACGGTAATGCCATTTAGCAGAAACCAAAACTCGGTAAGTGAGTAAATTTGTGATATATTTATTTTATAGCCTACAGTTGTTTTTCAGGAGCGCTTTCGCAATAATTACAACAGGGTTCGGCAACATGCGACAAGGGAGTCACTTTATGCGTCCCGTACACGAAATCCGATCCAGCTTTCCCCTTCCACTGCAACTTTTATTATTTTTAGTCATACTGTTGACCCTCATTTGAAGGTGAAGTCTTCAGTCGCACAAGAATACATAAATATTTAAGGAGCACGAATTGCGTACCATATAGCACACTTGTTTGAGACACACAGTTACATGCTTTTCACTCATAACATTTGCAACCTAATATTTATGACATATGGAACATTTGTACACATCAGCACTAACAATCTATACATTTTCAACAAAATACCTATCAAGAGCAACCTCAATTTCACTGAAAGTACTTTTTTTCACAACATCATTCGGTGATTCATACCACATTATAACAGCATCAGAAAAAAAGGAAAAATGAAATACATCTGTTCGAACGCGTATTGCTTGTATGAATGCACTGCGTGTTGTTCTTAAAAACTTTTTGTAAGAGCACGTCAAATAATCATCCTTGTTTATTTTTACCCCTGCTTGTAAAATCTGGAAACGCATTTTCAATCTCTGTTTCCGTCTTTATTCTAGCGTTTCTAATTTTCATACTTTCAACATTGGAGTTACAGAATTCTTTTTTCAATATTTCGAGCAGATAAACCGAGATGACATTCTCTGAATGCATTCTAGGTTATTTTTCAAGACCTTTTGATGTGAACTCCATACAACGCTAGCGTATTTCAAATTCGGACGGACGTAAGTTTTGTACGCAAGCCGCTTGATATCTCTTGTGGTTCGGCTTAATTTTCTTCGTAGAAAGCACAACTTTCGATATGCTGACTGACAAATGTTTTCGATATGAATACGCCAATTCTATTTATCTGTTATAGTTATACTCAAGTATTTAAAACAACGTACTTTCACCAGCATATTAGCATCTATGCTAAACGGAAACGACAGTACTTCCTTCGTTTTTGTAATGTTTGTGTAAGGGGGTTTTCTAATTTTAATTTCCATACCCCACTTAGAACACCATAAGTTTAAGGTTTGTAAGCACTCAATGATTTTAAGTTGATCTTCTCTGCATGATACCGGACAATAGATTTGCAGTCGTCTGCGAACAGCTTAATTTTTACTAGTGGCTGTACAACTAATGAAGTATCATTTCTGTATAACAGAAATATTAGAGGGGCCCCCGTACAGGCCCTGGAGGCACTGCAGAATACACCTCCCTATTTTCCGAAATAGCATCTCCCACTGTAACTGCTCGTTGTCGATTGCCCAGATAAGCCCCGATCCAATTGAGAAGATTCTCACTAATACCGACGTTGTGAAGCTTGAACAGCAGTTTACGGTGTGAAATTCTGTCGAAAAACGCTTTTGCAAAATCTATACATATAACGTTGATTTGCATACAGGCATCTACAGCAATACACAAGTTATGAATAGCTTCAATGAGTTGTGTGACAGTTGAAAGGCCACTGCGAAATCCATGCTGAAAGGGGCATAACAATTCGCTTTGTTTAAAGATTGTCGAATATTTTTACCACCATAAGTTCAAAATATTTGCAACACACTGAGGTGAGACAGGCCTGTAACTGTTCTCAGTTATTCTATCACCACCTTTAAAAATTGTTACAAATGCTCTACGTCAACTTTGAGGTGACGTGTGACTTTTTAATAATTTCTTAAAAATAATTTCTAGGTAGTACGACAGCCACTCCGCAAACCGTCGCAAAAATTGATTCGGTATACCATCCGGCCCACATGACTTTTTTTTGTATTTAAAGGAATAGTTGATTGAAGATGCCTTTTCGTGTAATATACAAGTTATCTTCCTGAAGTGTCAATGTACTACCTGATTCATATTCCTCGTTGTTGCCCTGGTCATTCAAGAAAACCGACTGAAAAAATTGATTCAGTCTCCCAGCTATATCTGCCTTTTCTGTGATTACTTCTCTTCCATCTACTATAAGATCAATTCCCTCATTCGCTTCTTTGAAAAACAGCCAAAACTTACGAGGTGAGTTCTTTAGAAAGTTAGTGAGTGTGTTATTAAAAAAAATCTTTCTTGGATTGGACAATCTCTACTTTCAAGTTTTTTTTGGCACATGATATTTCAGTCGAGGCCTTATCACTCCGGCGCAACCTTTTTATATTACGCTTCATTTGAATTACTTTCCTCCTTATCCTTGGATTTCTTTATTGTGTTTTTTAACGCTACAGGGTACGAAGTTATCAGTGCAGTACATAATAATTTCTTTAAAACGTTTCTAGAGCTGTTCAACAGACTCGTGTTCTGATTCGTTTTCAAACTCGCCAAGTCACATTTCCAAAGAGTCTAGGATAGTCGTATCATCAGCTCGACCGTAATCTTTGATATGTGCATACACATGACGCTTCGCTCGAAAGCCGGTATCGAAAAACCCGTCAACCGTAACCACTTTGTGATCTGACATGCCGTCTTCAACTGATACAGCGTAATCAGTCACTTCACTTGATATGAAAACCAAGTCCAACAATGTCTTTGACGTAGGGGTGATTCGTGTGCAATTTTTACGATTTGTGTGAGGTTATGGGAAATCATTAACTCTAATAACCCATCTACATTACGTGTTTACACATGACCAGTTGAAAAGCTTGCCCAATTTATGTGCGGTAAATTAAGGTCACCAGTCATTATCAGTTTTGGGTGTTCATTTGCATGATCACACAAAAACTTATTTAATTCTTCTAAGAACTCGGGTGGACTTCCGGGTGGTCTGTAAAAGGCTCCAATAAGATGCGTATATTTAGCGTCATTTACCTTGCAATACGCTGTTTCTGACAAGTGGCAATGTACTGTTCTCGCCGCTGCGTTATTTTAACTATCAGCGCCACACCACTACCTCGAGTGTATCTGTCTTATCAGAAAATCTGGCATCCTAGTGATATGATACAGTTATCCGTTATAGCATTATTCAATCATGTCTCCGTTAAGACTACAACATGGGGGCTGTATGTAATCAATAAGAAGTCTAAATTGGTTGCTTTATTGACAATACTTCGTACATTCAGTAAAAGAATTCTTAGCTTTGAGCGCGCCGTACCAGGTGATTTTATGACACTTGCATTTGTTGGTTCTGGCGCACTCGAGCAACGATTAGTGGAAGTTGCAGAGTCGTGGTTACGTTCCTTTTTATCTTTTTGTTGCTTGCATTGATTACGAACGTTTCATTTCTGATCCCACTGATAAAGCTCACCGTTCACTTTCCGCTTGTCAAGAATCAGCTTCACTTTTGCTCCCTTTGCTCTTTCGGTTTCGCAGCTTTGCCGTAACATTTTCTTAACGTAAACGGTTTGACATGACACTAATTGTAGTGACACTAATGGTGACATGACACTAATGGTAGTCCTTTTCAACTTTTCACGCTTTTTCAAAACGTGTTCCTTTTCACGGTGATCGTAAAAATTCATGATGTCCGGTCTTGAGCTGTTGGGTTTTCGCTTGCTGATCCAGCGAATTCGGTCAACGGATTTGACTTTAATACCCAATTTTGCAAAAAAAAAACGTTTTTGAAAAACAGCTTTGAGCAACAGCCATGAGAAAATACATGCCAACACAAGAACAACAGTTTTTACCAACAGTTTTGAACAACAGCCATGAGAAAATACATGCCAACACAAGATATGGATTAAAAAAAGATGGTGCAATTATCCAAGTGAACAAAACCGTCAACAAATTTTCATTGTATATATAAGGTAACACTGAAGTACTAAACTGAACAAGGCAGCCGCTGAACTGTTAATGAACTAACAGAAAAAAGTTATTGTGGTGCTTCACGTGAGATCAGGGCACATGCTACAAACCTCTAAAAAGGCGTTCCAAGCAATGCGACAGTGCAAGCTTAATGATTTTGACATATTTATTATTTCATGGAGCTAATACTTTATACTTGAAATGTGTGTCTAAATTTTGTAATGATATATGTAGTACCACAATGATGGAAATACAGAAATTCTAGAAAAATGTTAATTAAAAAGGCTATGAGAAGAAGAACAATACGATACTTTGGAGCTCGTAAGCCTGAAGATTGTACAAGTTAGTCACTGATGCAATGTTCAACACTTGGTTCTGTGCGTCCCCCCAAAACAATGGCTGGTTTCAGGGAGGATATTCAAATAATAAACACATTTTCGGTAATTAAAGACCCTTAGGTTTTATCTTTTTCCCCATTGCCATCACTCGTCGTATCTTTCTTTTCCAGGGCGCTTCATGATGATCCGATCATCTACAACCGTAAATGCGACTGTCATTGGTCCAACGCTTGACAACTCGACATTTTGCGCGGTAAGTATGCGGCATAACAATATCAAGCTTATTCACTTGCAGGAACTATTTGGTAATAAAAACACTGTATATGCCCTCCCTACCCATTTGAACGTGATAGCGTTGAAGAGATCGCTCTACAGAAATTCATATGTTGTTGTTCGTATCGATGTCTGCGTCCATTCATTCTGGGCGAAAAATTAGCACAGTCTACACACAAAATCTTAAAATATCCAAATAATGAAACCTTCAAATAAATTTAGGAATTGATATACAAGCCTTCAATAAGAATCGATCGCAAGCATTCTGCGGGAAGAGCAGGTGTTCCACCACAGAGTGTCGTTTTTTCTTGAAACTTCTTCGGCAAAAAGCAATATATTATTGCCTTAAAGTGGGAGGAATCTCTTTAACGCATCTGATATTGCATGTCAGAAGTGTCGTATCACGTTAGGTGTCAAAATATATCTATAGCTGAGTGGGTGGGCATTTTTAAGGCCCACTCATTAAAAAGCACTCACGCATATGTATTCATAAACAAAAGCATTAGAGATGTGAGCAGCTGCAAAAGTTCGCATGTTGCATCACGTACGCCTTGTGGGCACTCCACTGATCCGCATTAGGAATGATCTTAGCGTAGTGGGCACTGGCCAACTGTACTTCAGTTATATATGCTAGACGACTGTGAAACCACCAGTGTTGTGCGCACAGACGTTAATTTCCTTGAAATAGCCTAATGATTGACGCATGCACGGAGAACTGAAGGCAAGCTGGGGGTCGGGAAGATGATGTGCATGGGGCCAGAGTACGTTTTCCTGTTCTAAGCATGAAGTAGAAGATCAGTCATACTTCAATTTATTGTTGTCATTGCCCAGTCATGCTGGGTTCTAGCCTAAGATCTTGGGGATCTGACTTTTGCCACGGAAGATTAAGCTTGTTTAAAGTTTATTGGAGCATAATCTGTCATACTTCGCTTTCTTCAAGTCGGCAATTCTCTCCTTGCCATTTCATACAGGCAGCGTACCTTGAGCCTATGCAAGGGCCTGCAGACTCAGCGATAATCCAAAACACTCTTTACTGTATCGTTTGGCAACGCTGGAACTCAAACATAGCGTCCATACAAGCAGGAACATGAAGTCAGTGCTTGGCTCCGTACACAAGCCGAAATACCGATGGCCAGCTACTGCTGCGCAATGGGCTAAGTTATCAAGCACCAGTCTACGACTACCTGCAGTGAAGTGGCTTCCTGGCATACACTGCTTGGTCTACGAAACTAATTGAATTTAAAAGCCCTCACTAGTTCATGAAAAGGCGTGCATTACTTCTAAACAAATGTGGAAAGGCTTATTTCATTTATACCAGTAAGATACCGCTGAATATTGTCCCAACGATTATGTAAAGCAGCATGCTACAAGTATTGATTACACACCTGTGAGGCATCAAAACTCCCTAAGAAAGAAATACTACTAACTCTAGAACCAATCCTAACATAAGAGACGTGCAACTTGCCGCAACGATGCACACTCATTTGACTCCTATATGTTTTTAAACAATGTGGTTTTTTTAGAGAGTTTTACTTGAAATCACCTGATTCCTCAAAGTATTGTTCATAGAAAACATATAACCTATAATACGATGTCATCCCTGCAGTTTATTTCAAGCTTCTGTGTCATTAACCAAAATGGCTAGAAAGCTGGAATGAGTGAACGTAGCATTTTTCGATCTCCTTTATCGCGTTAGAAAAACACGACCGGTGCTGCAGACACCTACTGTGGAAACCACTAAAAACAACAGAAGACAATGTACAACACCTTGGTTTCGTACTTCATTTAAATGCGTAGCATTTCTTAGCCAACTTCGGCGACTTCGGCCACATAGCAAATATTGTATCACGTGACATGAATAAACGACAAAGGTAAATGACACGTCCAAACATTAGAAACATGATATGCGTGTCATGTAAAACATAATTACGTAATACGCTCATAGCGTGCTCGCGGCTGTTTTACTAGTTCCACATATACCAAATTAGGTACCACGTGATGTGAATGAACGACGAATGCAAATGACACGTCCAAGCTTGATAATCATGGCATGCGTGTCATGTAAAACTTGACTACATGCTACGCTCGTAGCATGCTCGCGGCCGCTTTGCTAGCTCCACATATACGACACTTCGTATCAGGTGACTTGAATAGATGACAAAGGTAAATGACAAGTCGAAACATGATAATCATGATATTTAAGTCATGTACGGCATAATTTATCTCCGCCTCGTAACGTAGTGCTGATTTCTAAGTCACATATCAACCTTGCTCATTCGTTCTTCGCATATCATCGATTCTCATAGTACGTGGGATCTGCCTTTTTTTTCTTTTAATGTATTTTTTGCGTTGTGTTCTAAACGAGCATGAACCAGCCAGCCGAAATACGCACTCTTCTGCAGACACGTCTCCAGTTTATTGCCTAGCTATAGAGCTGCAGATCGTCTGGGCATCCTTTTTTGAGACGCTGCGTGCCGATGTGCTTTCATGGATTGCCAGTGATTCAGTGGTTTGGTACTTTTGTGAAAGATGTAGCAGTTTTCACCAACCCTGAAATTTTGCCGTCATACTCTGCAGTCTTTCATCCGTGACCTTACCTCGAAAAGCTCAAAATGACGAACATTTTTTGAAGTTTTTCAACATTCACCCATATTCGCCCTCGTCTCGCTCACTAAAGCTGATGATGTATTGTATTGATCTATTAAAGTGTTCTGAATTGTCCATGCGTCGCGTTCAATTTATTTTTTCCTTTCCTTTAACAATCGAACAGATAACGTTTTTCTACGCCATGCAAGGAAAAAGCCAGCCGAAGCTCACACTCGCCTCTCGGACAACGAAAGGTGGACCTTGGAGGGTCTGGTGGAAACAGACAGGGCCAAGCCAATTCTTCCACTTCGTTGGTGTCAGCGTACCACTTTCAGAAACAGTTCCTTACCAGGTAAAACATGACATATATGCATATGAGGTTAGATTTCTTTCTTTATGTAGGACGCTAGAAGTGCACCATGATAAAAATGTTTTACGAGAAACCTTCATATGTTTGCCATATTGTTTTTTTTTGGTAAGCCTGGGGATTCTCTAAGGTTTGCACATTTCATAGAACAATGTGTAATCACATGCAGCAAGGTTCCCAGTATTGGGTGCGAAGCTGACCATTGGTGGAGCAGGTGCTGCAATCACGGTGACATGCAAGTTTAGATCACGTGATCTTGCCTCGTGGATGCGTTAGTTTTAACTGCGACTTCGGGGTGTTCTCACTTCTAACAGCATTTTTTTTTTTGCTACGGACATCTACAGGCTACACAATCCAGAAAGTTGCAGCAAATTTTATCGGTGGTATGCCACAGCGTGGTACGTACGATGGTACGCAATGTCACTGTCGCGGCCACTCAGTGCTACTGTCAGTTCTGTCTTTCTATGTTGTTGTGGTTGTTAACTCAAGCCAATGAGGTTAAAGTGAGCATTTGGCCACGATTGTTAACGTAAGAACAGAACGTTTCAGTTACCGCGCGAGAGCCTCATTCACAAGAAAAAATGAATGCACAAACAGTCCGATTTGGTATATAATGGGAACATGGGAGAGGCCTTTGTTCTGCAGTGGACGTAGTCAGGCTAATGATGATGATGATGATGATGATGATGAAATATATGGCGTATATGTGCATATATGTGTCGAAAGTGGCCGACATTACATTAAGCAATGTGCACTCTGGTCTTGAAACAAATAAAGCCCAGAAATTCGGTTCTCTGCCTTAAGTTTTATTAATTTAACCCCATTCCGGTCTATCTCTTGGTCAGTCGCTTCAGCGTGTTCGATCAGCGCGTTCGACAAAAGCTTCTTTCTTAGATCACACATGTGCCACTCTAGCCTTTTAAAGCTACTTCTATCACCAAGATAACTTTTACCACAGCTTGTGCCACCCTACCCTCCTCCCCGGTTGTCCGTCGTCATGTGTGTACTAGGCCACGTAGGTTTCCGTCCGCCAGTGATGTAGCCAGAGAATGTACGGCACTCCACGCCTGAGACCCCCCCCCCCCCCCCCCCCTGCCTCCAGCCCTTCCTGAAATTTTTTGCCGTGGCATGTAGCGCACAACATAACAGTCGACCAAATCTGCCTGCATGGTCCCTTAATCAAGCTGGTGCCTCCTCCGGAAGAAAAATCACAGCATAATCACGGAGTGAATGATGATGAGTAGGGCGAAGCGTCCATCAGCCCGTCCATGCTTCCGTCCGTCCGTTCGTTCATGCTTCCGTACGCCCGCGCAAACATCCGTGCGTCCATCCATGCATCCATCCGTCCTACGTGCGTGCCTCCGTTCATCTGTCCGTTCGTCTTCTAGTCTGTCTGTCCGTCCGTGCTTCCATCTAGTGAACACTTCATGTACCGCCATCTCGCATCCACTGTTGCACATACCCACTCCGCCTGTCCATCCATCCGTCAGTTCGTCTGCTAGTTTGTCTGTCCATCCATCCTTGCATCTATCTGTCCGTGCGTCCATCTAGTGAACATCCCAAGTAGTGCCATCTACCATCTCGCATCCCTATGGCTACGTACAACAACGACGGAGGATGGACAGACCCAAGCCCTAAGGAGCTTCGCTCCTATAAGTTTCTCTTACGCCCCTGCCGTTCACGACTCGAGCTCACATGGTTCCTTGCTTATACGTCTGCAAATTGGACTCACATCCACTGTCACTTCTTCTCAACGTTGTTTTGATGTACAGGCGAAAATGCGTTCAGCTTCTTCTTATAGTTGCCGTGAAATGTGAGACAGCTTATGAATTAAGCTTTAGAAAAACTAGATGGACGCTGGCATTTCTACTGAAACTCCGAATGAGGCACGTGCGTGCATGTGACTTTCGCATTTACCCGCAATCGTGACAGAAAGGTCGTAGCGGCAATGATGGTTTTCTTGCCCAGCATGTCACTAGATGTGGCTGTGAAGTACAATTTGATAAGACAGTAGTTCTCCAAAAGCACAAAGATGAGCGCACAAGGCTTATAATTGAAGCAGCACACATAGCGGAACACGGGGCTTGCGTCAGCAAACCATCAATCGCTTTGTCCGATAAGGAGCTAGCGTTTTTAAACATTAGCAGATGCCGTAGAAGTTAACTAATCAATGTAAAGCACAGTAAGCGATGGTAAGGTAGGGCTGACGCACTAAGATATTCTATCGGTGTTGCCATTTTTGGTCTGTGCTTTGGTGTTATCGTATGTGCCTTGACACTGTATCATCTTTTAGTATATATTTCATATTTTTTCCGAATAAACTTTCAGTTGGTAGTTAGCGCTTGTCCCTGTCTTTCCGTCTGCTTCTACGTTGTGCGCTTCCATTTCATAATTAGTCATGTATCACCAACTCGCCCAATCAACCATTTTGACAGAAAGGTTGCGGCTGCATGCAGATGCAAGAATGTTATATTGTTTTCCACAAGTGAAGAATCCGCTTATGCTGTGCTTTGTAAGGCTAAGTGTGCTAAACAAAAATGCAAATTTGCGCATGCTTCTCGTTACAACCGTGGCCCGTCTCCACATGCAAACCTATAATGAATAAAGTAAGTAGTTGTGCGCATTTCTTTCAGGAAAAATTATTCTGTTTGCCACAAGCATGTGTTAATACCCATTTGGTACTTTGATTTGACACTGAAGTAGTAGTTACCGTTAGCAAAATTAGCGCGCTCAGCACCCGTAGTTTTCATATAGGTAGCCATAGCAAACGACGCTGGCAACCAGGCATTATGAGAAGCGTAAGACTTTTCCGTAACAGTGGTTTAGCTCTTTGTGCAGTCAGTGAAGAAGCTGCAGCAGTATTTTTCATGATTTCATTGAGTGAACTGCAACAATTATGATAATAGTGAAGGAGCCGCGAATGCGTATGCGGGCTGCGCGCGGGAATGTGGCGGAGCATTCCAACCACTAACGTCACAGGGATACGTCCGCATGATGGCGCCACGGTATGCCTTCGCGCTTAAAACACAGAATGGGTAAGGTAACGCATTCAAATAAGCAACAAAAGTAACTGCCTCGAGAATACAGGCAACTTCAAAAGGAGGCGATGGGTGTTGCGAATTGAGAGATAAAGTAATTTCAACCTTCATGATATCTGACTGAGGTATATCCTCATTCAAGTCGAAACGACTTTGTGACGCAAATATTTTAGTACGAAATGTATCTACGCCCCCGTAGCTTTTGGTACAGAAACGGTTGCTTGATAACCTGCTCGTGACTATCGCCACGCCGTCTGACAAAAAAAAATTATGAGTTATTTTCTTCAATGCATTCAAACGTACACGTTTCCGTACGAAGACGAAAAAGGAAATGTTGGCGATTTTGATCACACCCGTCCCATGTTCTGCATTTCTTCCAGAGAAGTTCATCATCACCTTGTTGTTTTGAACCGTGGTACTCACTGTATATGCGGTCTTGCGTAGCCAAGTCCACAAATCGTTACAACTTTCCCATACTTTACTTATCTCTGTATTAACATCGGTTTCTTACCGTTTATATGTAACTCGGAAGTCATTCATTGTGGTGTGCCTTAAAATTATATCGTGTCTGTGGCACATGAGGCTTCAGATATTATCCCTTTAAAAAGAAGGTCCTACAATTTCTGTGAGGAATCAAAAAGAGGCCCTTTTGACACCTTTATAGGTTCTTATAGAATGGTTTCAATGTTGCTCTAGACTGCTTCGTGAATGTGCTTCTGAATAAGTTTTCTAACCTTTCAAGCGTAAGACAATTATCGCAGACACCATTCAGTCTCCACACGTCTCGAGGTTTCAGTGAGCGCGCTGGGCATTACAGATGCACGTGGTTGGAGAATGTTATGGAAGTTTGGTTGAAATGGGAACGTGTTGTTGTCTTTAGAAATTTCTTTTATTTCTGAAGGCTTAATTCTTCTCAAACATTCACGACGCGCTCCCCAGCCGGCATTAGTTTCTACTAGTCACATCGATGATGGCACGCCAGGCGCAAATACAGTTCGAACGCGACGCTGCCCGACGCAACGGACACAGCCGAAACAGCGCAATGATGAGTAGGGCTCATGTTCTTCTGTTGTAGTTGCTACGGGTGACAAAAACAGCGCTCGGTGCGAATGAGTCCCACCAAAGCCACCAAGAAAAATGTTGGTTTGGCACGTCCGGACCGAAGGGCGGCAGTAGCCATTCGGAGCCTAGTCACGCCCGAGCGCATTAGCGCCCACTGACCATGTTAGTGGCCGCTCGCCGCCCTTGGCTAACTTTATAGTGCATCTAAAAAAATGGCAGAATATCCACGGAGTTTTCATCAGCATTCGTCCGTCCATTCATTCTTGCTTCCGTCCATCCATACGTCCATCTGTGTGACCGTTCATGCGTCTATCCGCCCGGCCGTGCGTGCGTCTGTTCGTGCGTCCGTCCCTGCGTTCGTCCATGCATCTGCCCCTGCGTCCGTTCATGCGTTTATCCAAGGATCCGTTCGTCCATCTATTTAACACTCCAAGTACCACCATCTCGCATTTTTTCATCATATATTCCCCATACAGAAGCACCGCCATCCAGCGGACATTCCAAGGACTAAACGAGAGGTGGCACACGCACACTTTCTTACGGCTTGCGCTTCGGGTCTACTTCCCACCTTAAACCACCTCGAGTTCATGGTATATACTAGTTCGCTGTATTCATGGCACTGCGGCACAACGCCCACTAAACCTTTCTAAAACCATGAAGGTTACGCCCAGCGAGTATAACGTAGCAACCTTTTCTTGTCAGATAGTGCTCAATATACATGCCTATGCTGCTAATGAGAAATGAGAGACAGGAGAATTCGGCTTTTACTTTCTTACGGCTTGCGCTTCGTATCTACTTCACACCTTTAACCACCTCGAGTTCGTGGTATATACTAGTTCATTGTATTAATGGCACTGCGGCTCAACGCTCGCTAAACCTTTCTGA